TAACTGCAAGTAGGAAGATACAGCACAGGAGCGGTGCTGAGGTGAAGTGGAGACTGTGGTTCCCCGCCCATGCACAAATTAAAGCTCCAAAAACCACACCAGAACCCATCTTTCATTATGTTCTGCTCTTGTGGGCACTGACATTTGTCATTAGGGAATCCCATAACTGAGGCTTTTATAGGTAGCTCTTGAGGCCAGTTCCTCCAGGCTACTCCATGCGACAGCAAATTTGATTCCTGCAATAAAGTTGTAGTCTAGGCTAATTCCAACATATGTTTCCTCTTTTAGATGGGAAGCCTGCTTACAGCAGGACTGCAGTCTAGATCTCCAGGATAACAGAGGCCTGTACAAAAAAAGTATTACCTTTTCCTGAAGCTGGTTGTTTCGCATGTCTGACTGCCTATAGTGCTTAACTGCTCGTCAGTATCACGCACAAGGACCCTGAGCAGGCAAGCTCCTGTGCCTTTGTAAATCCTTGACATGAAAGCCCTTGTACCATCAAATCAGTAGAGTGCCATCCACATCCCCAGTTCAAATTTCTCACTAGTGTACAAGTAACCAGCTACTGAACAAGAAACTGAATTACAGTTCAGCTTTGAAGTCCCTGCAGTCCAGGAATAAACTGCTTTTCAGCCCCTTCTTGTCTCAGATATTAACTGTTTCAATCAGTACACAGGCACTTCTACAGATCTCCAGTCTATTTTAGCCATATGAAAAGAATTTTTCAGAGCCAAACTGTACTTGAATTTCACCAGCATAATCCACCAAATGGATAAGATAAGCCAAGACTAAACAAACTGGAAGGGTTTGAAACACTAGTTAAGATTAGCTAAAAATATCACCGTGATGCATAAACCCAAATAGAAACCTGCTCCATCTCCCAGGGCAGTATCAATTCTGCCATCCCAACAGGTGTAAAAAATAATTCATCTTTGTCACTAAACTCCACAAAAACGCAGTAGGGAGAGGAGAGCTGTTGACAGAGGAGGGGCCATTTGTATATAAATTATTCCACCTGGTTAATCAGATTTAAAGGTGTCAGGGTGCAGAGCCAGTCCCTTCACCCAGAGATTTCCAGTGATTCTAGAAATTCAATACTGCAAAGTCTGTCCCTATATCTTATGTGCAAAGTGCTTCAGCCATCTGCAAAAGGCTTTGAAACTTAGCCCACACTGAAAGACAAGCCTTCCTGAAAACACAGTTTTGAAGTAGGAAACTAGTTAGACAGTGCTGGGTACAAAGATCATATTTGTTTTTACTTAGTTCCTCAAATCCCTTGAATACCAGTTCAGAGCACATACTCTATAAAACACTCATGAGAAACTGGCACGTTCACTCAGGCACATATTGATGAACTGCTATTTACAGCTACTGTCATTTAAGTACCATTTTATTACAAATAGTAGGATTTGTAATAACAGACATCACAAGATCCTCAAGCAGCTAAGGGCTGCTGAATAAACAAGTGTAACACGAGTGATTTTTCCCCACTGTTTCTCATTTGAAATGCACAGGCTCAGCCCAGCAAAGTAAATTGCTTGTTTCCTGTCAGCCTTCAACCTCTGCATCTCTATTTTCTGTATGGGAACAGGGAAGGGAATTCAAGGGTAATTTCTTTCGTTATTTGAATAAATAAATGCAGATAAAACAACCGTTTCAAATTAACAAGTCCTTCCTAAGCTAATTTTCTTGGAGCCTTTATGCAATAAAGATTTATTTTCCCCTTTCTATCCCTCCCTCCCCGACCCCCAAAAGCCCTCCAAGCCACAGGGCAAGCTGAACCCCAGTGTCTATAATTAATGGCTTTGTCTGAATGTTGTGGGTTGGCCACAGCATAACAGATACCCACATGCAGGAAAAGAAGCAAATGCACTTACTCGAGAGATAGACAGAGGCACATTGAAATCCTTGCCCCCTTGAAGCCTGAAACCCCAGGGAGCCGGCCCGACCAAAGACACGCTGTAGTTGCTCATGATGTTTAGTATTCACGGACCAAATCCAAAGAACTGATGCCTGCAGAAGAGGATTAGAGATTTAATTTAAAGATTATAAAAACAAAAGGCGCTGTCTGCAATTTTGAAAACCTTCTTTCGTTGGCTGTATTCCCCTCCCCCAAAAACAGCCAAAAACTCCACACCAGGTCTGTCACGACTTGTGCTTTACTCCCCATATGTTGTTTCCCTCCACAATTTAGGAAGAAACAGAACTGAGAGAACTGTCGCTAGCAAAATGTTTGACAACTACTTTTCACTAACAAAACACAGTGTGGGGCAGGGGTGGTAAAACCATCCAGCATTAAAGCTCAGCTTAAAAAAAGTCAATATTGAGACAAGCATGAATTGATAGCATCCCTTAAACCAAAGTATGGAAGACATTAGCACTACTAGCACATTCATTTCTAACAAAATTAGTATCATATGCTGCCCTGTCATCAGCTCAAAGCTTATTTCTAAACATAACAATGCCAAAAGCATCACAACTTTGCAGTTAGTCAGAGGAAAATAAAGTCCCTGTGACTTTCTTATTTTTATAGCATAGCTTCATAGTGTCAGAACAATGTTACAGATGAGACAGGTATTAAAACCAACCCCCAAAATGAAAGCCGCGAACTAAAGTAAAATGTCCACAGTCACAATTTAATGCTGAGGAAGCAAAACCCAAGCATCTCCCTCTCCACAAATGCGGCTAACAAATTACCTTTAAAAGGCAACTGAGATTATTTAAGTGCTGTTCAGCGTCAAAGATAAGGGCTTCAGTTCCACCTCAGATAAGTAATGTTACAATGACATCTTAGGTAGTGGATGCCGTCTATTTTTGTATAGTTGAAGCCCGGCAGGAGCACACCAGGGCAGGCTGGTGTAAGACTACACCGGGGCACAGCCAGATTCCATACTCATATAGGGACATTTAAGGTGGACCTTCAGCCAAGCAGCAGCAGGCGGCTGCAAACCCCACCAAACTTTGAAAAGCCCGGTTTTAGCTGTTCATAGGCTGCAGGGGAGCCACGTTAGTTTCTCAGAGGAGGCGGATTTTTCCAAATGCAGCGCACCCACAAGAAACACGAGGGCAGGGCAGTCGCACAGCCCCCATCGATGCGAGGACGTCACTCCCCAAGAGAGCCATCCACAACACACGTTTTTGGGTTCACCTCCCAAAGCAGCAGACAGCCACTCAGATTTTTTTCTAAATCAGTGAAGTTTTATTCACACCGATGGCCACTCAGGTAACCAAAGCAGGGCTACTGGCATTAGACAGCACGATATATATACATATATATTACGAAGCAGAATCTGGAGCTTGTACCAGAGGCGCCTGAGTAACTGGGCCATTCCCAACCCACCACTGCCTGCTGGCACCCAGCAAAGGGGCAGCTCTGACCCCAGGCTCTGACTCGACCCACCCTTAATAACCTTGACAAGCACCAATGAACAGAAGGGGAAGGGCACAAGATTAAGCTCGCCTGTGGCTAAAGAGGAAGAAAAGACCCCGCCAAGTTCGAGCCAGGATTCTTAGGAGGCTTGCTCACCACTAAAGTGAGAACTAAGCTGTTTAATTGCCCTGCGCACAGAATTCTTTCAAAAAGAGGATCTGAATTAGTCACAGATTTCCTTCTGCATAAAAATACACATTCGGTTCACTCCCGCTAAATGAAATCCTCTGCAGTGACAGGTCACTGTAAATTATGAGACTGCAGAAAAGCAAGCCACATCGGCTGACCAGCATATAGTGCAGCTGTTTCACACAGGTGAGCAGGCTTTACCTAGCAATTGAAACTAAAGCACCTGTGTAGCTTTCTCCTTTTTTTTTTTTAACTGAGCATCAACTAGTTACAGCTACACACCCAGGAAAAATAATTAATTCTGCTAGGAATTGATACCATTCTTTTTCATTTGTAGCAACTAGAAATAGGAGGGAAGAAACTGCGTGCTGAAATACAGTGCATCACACTCAGCATCACTCATCTTTCCTTTCTCACCCCCTTCATTCTGGTATATCTGCAACTCTAGCCTGACAGATAACAGATACACTAAGAAGGAACAGCAAACAAAGAAGACCCGCTCCAAGTTTATTTAACAAATTTCTTAAAATGTGCCAGCTAAATGGAAACACCGCGAACCACCAACCTCACTTCACGTACGGAGCACTGTGCAAACAAACCAGCTAAGGGTGACATTGTGCAACTTTCCTTCAGACGATCAAACGCTCGGTGGACTTGCGTCTGGAAGGGGGAATTTCAAATCCCGCACCGCTGCCGGCCAGGGCGCGGAGCCGCCGGTCCGCAGCACCCAGCGGGGCCCTCCTGCCCCGGGGCGGCCGAGCCTGAGGAAGGGCGCGGGCAGCGCCAGCACAAGCCCCCGTACACCCCATACACCCGCTCTGCCCACCTGCCCGGGCCGAGGAGCCCCAGGGCCAGCGCAGGCTGGGGACCAGAACTCCCCCCAGGAGCGCTCGGTCTCGGCTCCAGCGCTCCCAGAGCCCCAGCCGCTCCAGAGGCACCCGGCGTGCAGCCCCGGGGGTACCCAAAGCCCGGGGAGCGGGGCACACCGGAGCCCTGTGCCCGAGCAGCCCTACGAACACGGCAGCGCTCGGCTGGCGGCGAGGAGCGCCGCAGGTGTCCCGCAGCCCGGGCTCCCGAGGCGCTGCCCCGGGGCCGGGCCGCGCCCCCGCCGCACCCCGGCACCCCGGCCGGGCGCTCCGCCACCACGGCAAGCTGCGCGCCCTGCTCACAGAAGCTAAATGAAACGCAAATAAGCACCGAGGAGCTTTACAAACCGCGCCCGGCCGACTGACTTTTTGCCTAATTCCCCCCCTGGTTATTTTCTGTTCGCTTTCTGCCGCCCCGGCACTCACCCGGCGGTGCGGCACAGCGCGAAGAGGCGAGGACACCGCGGCGCGTCTGCGAGGCGGCAGCTCCGTCCCCCCGCTCTTGTTTTCACTTCCGTCTCCCGCCGCTCCTCCCCTGGCCCGGCCCGGCCCAGCCCTGCCCGGCCGCCACGGGACGGGGCTGCGGAGCGGGGCAGGGGCCGGAAAGCCCGCGCGGTGCCCAGGTTTGCCGTGTTGTTTGATTTGTTTTGGTTTGTTTTTAACGGGGGAGCGCTCACTTTCGCCCCGCTGTGATTTACGCACACGCAGCTGCGGGCGCACCTGTGAAGCGCAAGGGCGAGCGGGGAGGAGCCGCTCCCCGTGTGCCCGTCCTGAGGGAAGGGGCTGCGCTGCCGGGCAGGGATGGGGGGAAGCCGCGGGGCAGCCTGAAGCGGAGCAGGAGAGACTACGAAAAGAGGGAGTTTGGCTGATTTAATGTGAGGAATGACAGGGATGTACTCGCCCCCTGAGGACATCAAAGTGGGGGAACGGCAGCGAGGCGGAAGAGCTGACAGAAGGCTGGCACAAGAACAATCAGGTGTAGAGTAGTCATGCATAAGATCAGCTCCGAAATTGGAAGGGATCCGCCACAAATTAATGTCTCTGGCACAACTTCGCTGTAGGAGTGGGTCCATTAAATGAATCAGGTTCTAAGGTGATGCTTGATCAGGTTGTTATAGGACTAATTTTTTAACAAGAGGGCTGTCTAGCTGGGAATGCAGCTGGGAATCCGTGGAGCGGGGTGGGCTGGCTGGGAGAGCACTGCTGCTGCCTTGGGAGAGGCAGGAATAGGGCGAGGATGAAACAGCAGTGGCACTTCAGAGTCACATTCAGCCGCACCTCCCAGCTTGGGGAGGCTTGAGGTTCCTGCCAAACTTCACGTGCGACAAGAAGTCATGACAAGCAAAAATGGCTGTGAAAGAAATGTGCATCTAGTTAACAGTGCCATTATCAGTTCGATGCAAAGGATTTCAGTACCCTCCTCAAGCATGGATTTACTGTGGAGAAGGAGTGCAGAAGAAATCCATCCAACACAACACACAATCCTCATAATGGACAGCCCTGCCTCTGGCCCCAGAGCACTGTCCCTTGCTTTTATTATCACTTGCACAGCTTTGAGCCCGATTTTGGCCCTGCTGTGCCCATTGCCCTCACAGGCTACCCCAAACAGGAGCCCTCAGGCTGGAGCTGGTGCTGGGTTAGAAGACCTGTGCCCTAGGTGCCTGGGTGTGCATGAAACCAGGCCCTGGCTCAGTGAACCTTGACAAGTGTATTTTAACAGTGTCCCACTGAGCTGTGTGTCTTTAGAACAAATGCGCCTCAAATAGCATCTCAAAAGAAAAGCATCTAAACCCCCCACTACTGTTGCCAAACCACTGTTTCAGAAACTTTCCTTCCTTAGTCTGCTCTTTTCCTATTAAGTCTCTCCAATTGGGTAAAACTAAAAATCCCTGTTACACAAACAGACTCCCACATGATTTTAATTCATGGAGGTAAAAATTACCCAACACAGGGATTTTTCATTGTGTCACAAGGGCTGTAGGTCACTCTCAAGCTGTTTTATTTATTGGAGGAGAAAAAGCTCCAGGATCCCACACCCCGGTGTGACTCACGTGATATCTCCTGTGTCAGCATGTCCCTGTACTGACTGCTTGGGTAGCAATCTGCTCTCAGCTCACCAGGGCACACAGCCTGTGGTCCTGCTTGATTTTGCATTGTGCCACGTTAGTGAAAAACATCCTTTTCCACTTCAGTTCTCCCAAAACCTTCAACTTTTGCTGTTGGAGAAGTAGCTTGCACATGCAGCATCTCAGGACAGTGTTACATTAATTCATCGTGACCGAAGAAGAAGGTGCAGAGAGACTTTTGCTGCTTGGTGTTGCAGCAGGTTTCAGCCCCGGCAAGCCTGCACGCAATCTGCTCCATACCCACCCATGGCAGCAAGGCCAGTGCCACTCCCAGCTCAGAGCTGGCAGTCTCATCTTTGAGTCCGTCATCACTTCGCTGTGGCATGATCAGTTTGTAACAAATGAATCTGTTTTCCTTTGCCTCCAGACACAGGGCACAGAAATAGAGGCAACTCATTCGCTCGAGATCGCTTCATTCTTGGTTGCTTTTCAAATATTCTCCTCTTTGAGAAAAAGCTTTTCATTAAGATGAATAGCAAAATTAGAGATAGTAAGTTGAGCAAGAAACTTCGGCAGCAGCTAGAACTGTGGCCTGCCTGTTCTTCCTACCACTACCGGATTTTAGACAGAGCTTGCATTTTCTCCAAAGAACAAGGAAGGAAAGAGTCTGGAAATTAATTAAATGCAGTAGTCAGCTAGCCAGGCAGATACAGCCTATCTCAGAATTACTCAGGCACTTAAGCCTCCTTTAAATGCTAATGAAATGCCTTAGGTGCCAGGTAATAGGCTCTGCAAAACTGACAGAGAATATCACCTGCGGTGAAGTACAAAAAGGTATTTGTAAGTGGGAAAAGTAGCCCATAAATTATGAACAGATGAACAATGCACAGTCGAATTATTTTTAATTAAACACCAGTTAATGTAACATTACCCTTCTGTGCGCTGAAGCATTCAACTACAAGCTGTGCTGTTACTGCACTGCTACTTTCACTTTTGCTTTTCTTCCAAAGGTAAAGCTAGTGTAAATATTTACATTCAGCATATAACTGCTGTTCAGCACAAAGTAATCCTCTCTCTATAGAGGTTAATGTGAATATCATCTAGAGCATAATAGCTTAGTTCCAGTTCCAAGATAGCTCTGTGGCCAAAAACTACAATAAATTAGATAATTTCTATTTGTTTCTGTGAAGCAGGGGCTGCAGTCAGCTTTTGACAGGGCAAGTGGTTACTCTTTGGTCACAGTGAAGCCCAAACCACCTTGAACTGGTATCACAGAAGAACTTTTATTTTTCTGTTTGTTTGGTATTTTGTGGTTTTGTTGTTTGTTTTGTTCTGTTTTTCTTTTTCCTGTCCCTGTTTTGGAAAGATAGCCTGTGCTGGACTGCATCCTCTTATACATCCTGTCTACCACAATAAGTCCAGTTAGCCCAAAGACTTCTTGGCATGGGAGGAGCTGTGTGGTTGGGCAGAGTGGCTGGCAGGAGCTTCAGCATCCAGCCAGCTGGATTCACCCACCCAATCCACCTTGGAACGGTTTTGTCAGCCAAAAAAACCCTCATGGTCAAGTTTTCTCTTACTTGTCACCCTTTTCTCTCACATGTTAGAGCCCTCTTCTCCCCACAGCTGTGCTTACCATCTTCACCACTTGTCATCAGCCCATTTTCTCACTGAAGCATGTTTCTTTGTGTTACTTCTGCTGTAGCTGTGTCCTCTGACAGCAGTTTGCTCCTCAGCGTGATGATCAAGAGAGTTTTTAAGCCCATGGTTTTCATCAGATTGAAAATTTAACAGTGTTGGTGTTCCCACTCTAGCCATTGAAGCTCTTAATGTTATAAATGGATTTATTAGTCTTTTTATACCCAGATTTCTTTTTTATTTCAGCTAATCAACCCTTCTTTAATTTTTCTTTATTGGTGCTTTGCTTTGTAAAGAGAAAGTAATATTGACTAATAAAATACTTCTTATTTACAGTGTCTCTAGAATCTTGGTAAATTGCATAAACAGAGGAAATGTATGTTATTACTGGACTTCTTTGTAGTGACTGAGCAGACACATTGGAGCCTGGTCATTCCTAGTTATAAGCTAGGAATATCTGGTTTGTTCCCTCCTCCTCAGGTAAAAGAAGGACCACCTATGTGGATGCCACAGCCCATGCCACAGGTTCAACATTTCTACTTTGTGTGTCCAAGCCAATGAAACAGCAACTAAACCTCTTCATTCCAGGAAACACAATTAACCTTTTCAGAAGCTTAAGGTTATCTTCTTATCACATTAAACATGGCCCATTTTAGGGACTGAAATCAATCTGAAGCCTCTCAGAACGTCACAGCCTGAACAGCTTCATCCTCACAGCCCTGCTGTGAGGCATTAGCCTCATTTTACAGATGGTGACCAGAGGCAATAAACATTTATTCATGCAAGGAATCAACTGTCAAAGAATTGAAACCAGTTCTTCCAAATTCCTTCACCACTACTAACAACTAACTACTGGATTACTCTACCCCAGGCTGACATCGCCCTTTCTGCTTTTTCAAATGGAGCAATACATGGGAAGAAAAAAGGAGGGGAAAAAAAATCAGACTTCATATTTACTAGTTTTGACAGAATTATGGGAGTAATGCCTTCAGTTATCCCTGTTCTTACCTCTTGAAGTGAGCTGCCTGCCCTGATTTCCTTTTCCTTAATGGCAAGGAATGGTTAATGCAGAAACCTGTGGCTTGGTGTGGTTTAATTACAGTGCATCAGCTGTGCAGGAAGGGCTTGCTGAGTGATGTCTTTGAGCTATGTTTGAGCTATGCTTGAATACCAATTAAGTCGGGTTTGGCAGGTAAACAGCCAAACTTTCAGAGTGATCCTTGCAATTACTTATATTAATTAATGCCACGGGAGAGGAGATGCAGCTTTTCCTGCAGACTTGTGCATGATAGATTGCCTTGCCGAGGGAGGCAGTGGGTGCAAGCTGCAGCACAAAGAGCCTGGCAGGTGAGGAGCAGCTGGGCACAGGGGTTTGGAGAGAGGGCACAGCAGGGGAGCAGGCAGCTCCCCTGCTTTATTCCTACCAGCACCACTCACACACAAAAGCACAGTCTTTTTACAGGGTCTGTTCTGCTGCTCAGCCTGGGCACCCAGCAGATGCCATTTGGGGCTCCCCCTCCACAACCCCACATCATCCTCAAGTCAAAACCCTTCATCCAGCTCACACAACTGAACTGGTACAAAAATGAACATAGTCCAAACCAGTGACACCACCCCCCTTTATCAACAGGTCTAACAATACATTTACAAGTGTTTGGAAGTAAACTAAGGGGGAAAAAAATCAGCTTACCTTTCCTGTTGGATTCACTTAGTTGTCCTGGATTTTATAACTGCTTAGGTAAAGCCATGCAAAAATCTGTGCATACAGAGAAACCTCTCTAGGCCTTTGTAACCACCTCTAGAGTTGTTTGCGTTTTTTTTCCCCCAGAGAAATACAAAACAGGCATGAGAGCAGTAAGATCAGAGAACATGTTCAGGAGATCTTATTTTAACTGCCCACATAAAATATTATAAATATTTTAACTGCCCACATAAAATATTATATCAACTAATAGCTATTCCCACAGTAAATAAAATACAGGTAAACTTTACTGACAGAGGAGAACAGCAGGGAAAAAAAAGAAACAGCCACCAGAGAAGCTTGTATTTTACATCTTAAGAATTTGAACCAAGTTTTTACACACCAGTGTACTGTTTATATGTGAATCATTTTGCGATGATTTATTTGTGAAAACACCAGTTCCTTGTTGACTTTGCAAGGTTGGCTGCCACATAGATCTGGGTGTCACTCCCAGAAGCCTGAAAACTGCATTGTGCTGATAAGTTTGGTCAAAATTCTGTGCATAAATAAAGATGAGCAAGAGGGCCAGAAGGGACCACAGGTACACAGAAGCACCCCTCACTGTCAGAAGCAGTTATGCTCTCCATGGGTGGATCCAGGAGCCATCAAGCCTTACCCTTTTCCTCCTGAAATGCTACAGCATTTCTTCCCAAATGAATTTACGTCTTAGAAGTGCTTGTGCTTTTCTGGTCCCAGCTGTTCCCATCGGAAGGCTGTCCTTGCCTCTGTTTGTTTTAATGGCCAGCAACTTGCATCTTATTTCCAGACTAAGTTTAGTCACATATGGGTTTAAATAGTTCTCCCTCATTGCTGTTTGACTCCTGGGTATTTTTAGAGGGAAACCATATCCCCTGTCAACCTTCATTTTTCCTGGGCTGAACAAGCCGAGGTTGCCTCAGCCTCCATTTGTAAGGAAAGATCGTGGCACTCCTGCTGATCTCAGTAGCCTTTCCTTACACCTGTTCGGATTTGTATTTTCCATGGGCATGAGACATCAAAATCATATGTAGTGTCCCAAGGGCACCTTACTGATGTCATCTTCTGCCATGGATTTAGTGTTTCCACTGTAAACATCTTGATTGATATGTCCCAGAATGACATTTCCCTCTCCAAAGGAATCCGTAACAGTGCCCCAAAGGTACTGGAGAATTGCCCAGTTGATTAAATTTTTTCCTATTTTTCTCCATATTTCAGTTTACTGATAAATTATATCCATATGTCTGCTTTACTCATCTATGCTTCTGAATTCAACTCCATTACATTGTTGTTCTTCCCATAACATTTTTTTCAGATCTTCCTCCCTCCTGATAGGGCCTCCCAGCTTCTGTCATCCACAAATATCATTAGCAAACTTGCAGTCTTTGTGCCTAGTTTACTGTGAAAAAATTAAGCAGGAAAGCTTTCAAAACCTTTTAATTTTATAACCATATATTTATATAATTACATACAAATATGTAAACAAATGTCATTAACTACCTTTCTGCATCATACTTCTTGTTGCAGTCTTCCCTGCTCCAGTCTGGCACCTGCTCACCTGGCATAAAAATGATGGCTTTGGCAGTGTAAGGATTGAAGCAGAACATCAGATGCTGTCCTGAAACCCAGATGAATGAAATCTGACACATTGACTTTGTTTATAACCTCAGTGACAGGACTGCTGTGAGGTTGGTCTGACACAGGCTGCTCTTGGCAAGAGCAAGAAGCCATGCTGGGAGGAAAGCGCAGAAGTGCTGCGAGCCGTGTCTGGAGAGATGTTCAGACCAGAGCCACAGGAGTCAAAGACTACTAAGAGGTCTGAGCAGAGATGGAAACAGAGAGAGCCAGTATTAAGTTACATTTCATGATGTCTTAGACGCAAAACATCATTGTGCTGATGTTTGCAAAGCAGCAGAAAGGGAGCACTTAGCAGTGTCATAGAGTCACAGACTAGTTTTGGTTGGAAGGGATTATAAAAGGTCATCTAGTCCAACCTCCCTGCAATGAACAGGGACATTTTCAACTGCATCAGGTTGCTAAGAACCCTGTTTGTTTCAAAACAGGATAGAGAACAAAAGAAAGATGGAGAAAACAGTATTTTAGAGTTTAAGGCTGTTAAAGTAAGGGTAAAACACTCTCTTAGAGAAGAAAATCGGAAAAGAAAAAGCTGTTGTTGAAGTATTTCTCATCCATGCTTCCTATGAGCAAGGTGGTCACCTAACATGGATAAATCAAAACTATGGATATCTCAGTTGGTCTCTGAGCTTATTTATTATATCCACATATGGAAAAATGTACTAGCCGCTTACTGTAGAGGTCAGGCTATATATAAACAACGGCAAGTGAAGCAGGACCTGATGCAATTGGCTCTAGGAGCTGCCTGTCCACAGCATCTGTGCAGCTGCAGGTGGGACGTGGAATCCCATCAATCAATCTAGGGTTAAACAGGAGCTGACAGTACTTTGGAGGAACATGAAGTGCCTGCAACCTATTAGCTGGGCACACGTCTGCACTTTCCCTCTCTTTGCACGAGAACCACCCTTCAAAGCACAGTGAAACAATCCTCTCACTCTCGAGAAGCTTTCGTTCTGAAGAATACATGGGAGTGGCAGAGCAGTGACATCAATCATTTTAAGCACAGTGTACTTGGTGAAATGCATGACACAAGTTGCACAGCAGTACCTGCAGTGTCTGTGCTAAGTGACAGAAAAATATATTAGAGACTAGTTAAAGAAACAGCTTGAAAACAGCTTGAAGGAGAAAACAGTGAAAATGAGAGGGAGAAGAGTAAAAAGTTCCAGCCACCACCTATTGTGTCTAAACTCATATTGTTTCTAAAAATACAAAAGCAGAAAGCCGGTAGGAAATGTTGATGCCAGAAAGCTTTCAGCAAGTAAAGGACCATGCTGGTGCCCAGCGTAAAATTGAGCCTCCAGTGCTCCAGGATTCAATCTGACAGCCATGTTCTAATGCCACTGCTCAGCTCCACCTCAGCTTGACCAAAACTTCAAAGCCTATTAAAATCAAGTAGAAACTTTCTGTGCCTCTGGCTCCTAAGTTTAAAATTGGCACTGGACTTTGTCTCGCATTTCGCCTCCTCCCCAGCCCTGTAGCTCGATACCCCTCGTTAGCCTGCTCGGGATGGTTTGTGTCCCTCTCTTTGGAGAACATTTGTCACCCGGAACTGCTCCAGCCCCTGCTTATTTTGCCGAGAAGGAATTTTGGCAGCAATTAGCCGAAGTGAGTTTCGGGACCTTCAGCTTGTTTGTTTGACCTCTGGAAGTAGGTGGCTAATTCAAGGACAATGGAAGCTGTCGTGTTACCTGTTCCCAACATTAAATCAATCAGGGGAGAGCGGGAGTGAAGTCAGCCTTTCTGTTTTGATAAGAGGGTGTCCAAAGATCCCTGGAATGAGTGGAACTCCAGCAGCCACTCGGGCACAGGACCGCCTGGCCTGCTATTTATACACCCGGGGGCAGGGCTGGGGAACAAAGTGGTTGTTCTGCTCCTGTTTTTTCTTTTTTTTTTAATTTGCCTGAAACTGAAGGGCTCATGGCTTTCATCATCCAGAAGTACGCATGGGCAATTTTTTTTTCCTTTATAGTGGGAAAAAAAAAAGTGTTACCAGTATAGCCTTATGTCTTCTATCTAATATATGTATTTATATCATAGTCTATATAATATATATTGTCATTAGATGTCTAAAGTTTGTTTAAACTTTCAAAAACAGAATCTCTCCAAAGACAACCTTTAAGAAAATGAAAAATGAATCCAGTATCCCATGTGTAATGATGATGTACCTGGCCTATGCTCCAGATGCCAGCAAACAGAAGATGGCTTCACTCAGGAAGTGGTTGCCTTAATGACACAGAGGGACAAGGACATCAAAGTAGGACAGCTGAGAGAGACACGAGGTACACACAAGTTCATCTTTTATATGGCAAAAGTCAAAGTAATGGCGTTTTGTGGAGTTTAATTCACATGCAGAACTATGTTTGAAATTCAGTTATACATGTATTTGTGCTAAACCCCTCTGGAAGCAGATCCACGTCATCCCAATGTTTGGAATTTTTTTAACCGGTTGGAGAAATAACTTAGTCATTGCAGTGGTTTTTGCCTTTGAGGAAGGGAGCAGTAGCACTTAGTTTCATTTAGGAGTGCCCTTTTCCTGTTGACAGAGATAAGCCCCAAGAGAGCCTCATCCAATTCTCCTGCGCTAAATATGACAGAAAAGAGTCTTTGGGAAAAGAAGTCCAGCACAAGACCCTGGGGAACACTAATTGCAAGCTTATTTTAAGTATCTTGCATGTTCTGAATAGTTTACAAGGCTGTTCCAGTTGCTGAGAAATCAGAAGTCTTGGTAATAAAGACTCTTGGGAAACTGATCCATCAGTTTTACAAGTTTACAGTGCTGCTGGAAAAGGGCCAGTGAGCTGGTCCCTGGAAATGAATGAAATATTTCTCTATTACCTCATATAGCTTGCAACACCGTGGTGGCTGAGTAACTTGCAAGTGTTACTGCATTCATCCTTGCAGTATCTGAATAATCCAGGGAAATGCAAGTACAAGCAGCTACAAAAATATTTCCACCTCTCTTTTCAGGGCAAGGTTTCCACCACCCCTAGCCCAGCAGGGGAAAATCTCAAAAAGCTCTCTCCATGGGGCACAACCGCATCCTAAGCATGGACCCTGTTCCTTCCCCCACCCCAGACTGCTCCCAAGCCTCTGCTAACAGGGCAGCAATGCTCACCTAACCTCAGTTTGCTTCCCACTGGTCTAGTCAGGGGATTATGACAATTTTCTGTGGACACAGAGGCACATACAAGAATTACCAGATTGCCCTCTATGGGCTGGTTTCCCTCATCCCACAAACCTTTGGGACTGAGACATGAATCCAACATATGGCAAGTAACACTTGGGAGCCATAGGTGCTTTTCATTAATAGCTACATGACCTATAACTCAGGCCTTCTCAAAGATTATTGCCATCATGCTATTCTTAACATTTGCAGTCACTGGGTACATATCTATGTTTTCAAACAAAAGCATGGCTCCAGCCCAGAGATTCTTTGCAAAACAATTTGCTGCTCCTTCCCCCTCCACCTCCTCTTTTCCTTCCCTCTCCACCCATATTCACATCCAAATTCGGTTCTCTCTGTTTATCTGACAGGAAGTGCCAAAGGAAAAAAATAATTGATGATGGATTTAAGAAAATAATACATCGTGTGTGCAGTACCTACACACCATAAAACACTTTACAATACCATAATCCAAAATATGTGCTAGGAGTAGGCTAATCAGACTTATTTCAAATTAGCTCGTTAGAAGGAAAAAATACAAGAAGGGCTGATTGCAAACAGAGAGAATGGAGTACATTTTCCATGTCTCACCAAAACCTTTGCAAAAAAAAATCACTTCTAACCATCTCTGTTTACAAGAGGGGAAAACAGCATGAGAAATGACTTTTTTCCTTCTTGCACAAATCAGAACTTGAGTCGAGAAACAATACACTCTGTCCTGCAGCATTAACCTTACAGCCTCGGGCACTCGATTGGAATGCCTCACAAAGCAAACAAACCCTTCTGGAGACAACAACCTCCTTATCTATTCGTAGAGAAAGGAAGAGGGAGAGGATGAGTGACTGCAGGAAACTCACATTTCATTCCAGTGACGAATTTTGACCAGCTTTTCATTCCTTGCACTGGAGATGCAAGTGCTTAAGAGGACCACAAAGACAGGGATGAGTGTACACAGCTCCTTTTAAGCACTAGGGAAGCTCTTTTTGGCAAATAAACATGTTTCCACTGTTGCTCAGTCATCAGTATCACCAGACAGAAGGCGTGGGCTTATGTTTTTTCTTTTTTGGGGTCTGTCTAGCCAGAGTTTTGCATAACTTCCTCCACCCTGTTTCACTCATCTTTCTGCAAGAATTTGAGCAGATCATCTGCATAGTGCTCTGTCTGACCTTCCCACTGATTTCTTAGGAAGTCGGGAATGCACTGATCCCTGGGCAGGCGCACAACAAACGGGGAGGGGCAGGTCCCTGTGTTGCCAGGGTCAGCTCTCATCACAAGTGCCAGCTGGTGAGGCTGAAGCAAGGTGGGCACACCAAACTGTGACTGCCAAAACTGGGGACATCTCTAGCAGTCAGGGATTGTAGTCAGTCGCTTGAGATCCTGTTAGTAAGGCCTGACTTAAGAGAAGATGTGTGGGGAAAATAGTGAGCCATATATAGTTATTTCAAGGCCTGAAATATGCAGGACTGTAAATAAGCTTTTCATATAATGGAGGTGGATACAGATGTGAATGAAAACCAGGACAAAATGAAGCATATTAGCAAAAAAAATGGTGCTGTCAGACTCACTCCACAGCTCTCCTGGATACAAGAGTCTCTTTGCCAGACTGCGGAAATTAAATTGATTTTATCTCCCTAAAGTTCAGGAAAGCATCAGACCTAGGACTGCCTGGTAAGCTATAAAACAAACTGCAAGAAAAGGGGATGGCTAAAAAAATTAAAAAAAAAAAAATTAAAAAAAAAGTAGGTAAAATCCTCCAAAAAACCTAGGAATTTAAAAGAAATTCATGTCTGTAAAAGTGTTAAGGTATGCATGGGATTGTAGGAGGGCTTCTTGCAGAGCTACTCAGAGTAGATTTTGAAACAAAGTATTAGATGTCCCATTGGCTGTGTTAATGCCAAAAATCTGTTTTCTTATTTTTGATGATAAATAACCTTAGGGGGGTTTTCCTATCCCAGAGAGAGGGTGGAATAAATTAAGGGTGGATGTTGGCAGCCTTGCAAGACTGAAATCTTGGAGCAAACTCCAGAGCAGCTGGGACAAGGCAACCTCACTGATGCTTCTGGGTGGTGTCTAGTCTTTTCACAAAGGACTGAGTGATATGAGAAGAATAGGAAAGTAGCAAACAAGGCTGTGCAACACCAGTTGCCTTGCTGTAGAAGAAATCAAACATAAAGGGAAAGGTATGAATCATTTTATATTGTCACTTTGTCTTAAAAACGTGTGATATTGAACAGAATCTTTAATCCTTGAATCTTTTGAAATAGCAGGAATAAATTACAGTTTATGGCCTTTTGCCCTTCCCCAAGTCTTTGGGAAGTATCCATTTCTCTAGCTAAGGACAAGATATTGGATGTATCATTCCAGTAGCAATCATTTTTCACATTCAGCTTAAATCCAATGGCTACACACCTCTCTTGACCCTAGATAAATTAAAAGAGCTAAAGCAAGAAGAAGGTTTAATACAAGTAACATTGCATCAGGTGCACAAACTTCCTGGAACAGCTAAAATTTACAGACAGAGTCATGGATTTTGGCAGAGCACTGGCATGTTTTGATGAGGTCACCAAAGGTGTAAAGTGACCACAAGATACGTATTCGATTATCTCTTAGATTTATAGAGGATTTGCTTGCTTGGAAAGAATTTTTAGAATGATTGGCATACACAATTTGTGTAAGCTAACGGTCTTGGGATTTTATATGCAATTCTATTTATATACAAACTGGGGGGAGTTCTGCTCCTTGTTTTAAGCTCCCACGTAGGCAGGGTTCATCTGCTGCCTGCACATTTGTTTGGACAGAACTTCGCAGCAAGTGCCAAAAGATCCCACATCAGAAGGGCAGCATTTTACTCCCACTGTAGACTGTCAGAGACCCAGTCAACAACCAGCATGGCAATAATCAAACTGCTCTAGTGAGAAATGGCACAGGCCAGCAAGGAACTGAGCAAGATTTACTTGCAGCTTTTATGTAATGGACACAGAAAACTTTATGTACTCTTGTTCTAAGAATAGCCCCCCAGTGATGAAAGGGATTTAATGGAAAGATAGCTGTAGACCCTTCATGCTTTAGAAAACATCTCACAGTCTCTAAGTGTATATTTGCTTGTCCTCATCTTTCACTTCTATTCAAAACTGTGTTTTGGCGATGCACGTGTACATCCACAAATTCCCTGAGGCTTGGAGTAAAAGCAAGGAAAGATATTCTTTGTAAGATGTAAAGAGGACAGGGTGGAGTTATTCTGCTGACATTAAGTTATGAATCCTCCTCCAGAGGACCATGTTCTCTTTCCAAGGTCTTGCCACCAGCCACAGAGGTGAAAAAAGCTCATCTGGTGATAAAAAGGATTGAAAAAAATCCTCCCTTTTCCCACAGCTGTTCCTCAAAAATGGATCTTGAGCCCCTTCAAATGGAGCTGACTGCTTTCTTCACTCTGCTGATGAGTAAAGACACTGCAAATGGAACAACTCCAGAATATCTCAACAGGGGCAGAGAAACAACGGCAAAGGACTGAAAACAAACACTGCCCACTTTAAAAGCAGGGATTGCTTACTAGAAAAATTATAAGAAAGAAAAAGGACCATGCCACAGGGGTTTTGGGCTTTTTTCTTTTGCTTTTAGAAGCTAAAACAAACAGTTTTGCAAGGATGGAAACAACATACGGAGGGAAAGGGAAACAGACTGAAGATGGGGAAGCAGATGAGGATCAGAGAGATGAAGCTTCTTACCTGTGTGCCAGATGTGGGTGTGGAGAAGACATCATGGGGCTTGCAGGTGAATTTGTTGGATTCACTCCACTGTCTGTTGTTCTCCAGCTGAGGCAACTAAGCGAGAGGCAGCCCTGCCATCCCTGTACATAGAGAGTTCAGAACAATGGAAATAAGTTAAGAATAATTACTATTTCACTAAATTTAAAGGAGAAAAATGCAGCCGAGAAAAGGCTGACCTAATGCATCCTATAGGTCCACAATAGTTTTTGTGCATATTTTGGTTTAAGAGAGATGTGCAAGGTCTGTTGTTATTTAAGGACTATTTTGGGAGCTGGGTGAGAGGCAGAGATACGGGACAAAGAACTGAAAAAATTACCAGCTCTGACAGAGCATGAAGGAAGAGTGAAGT